CGCTGCCATTCACCGTATATGTATACACGTCATATATATGAAAACGTAAGAAAGAAAAATAATCCAGAAAAAGACTCCAGCGCGCAGAATCGAACGCAGGACCTCTGAAACGTGAGTGCGAGGCGTTAACCACTGAGCCACGAAGGAGCACGTCATTCAACGTTTGAACGCCAAGCTATTTGTATCTACCACTTACTGCTGGTGACGGGCATCTTGGGGAGGGGGGGAACTACCGCGTTTTCAGCATTACCAGCAAGATGGCACAATGAGTGCACGTCCCCACATCGTCATGACATGGGGGCGCGTGCTCTCGTCTCCCACACGTACTTCGCTCCGCACAGTGGTGGGGGTGGACGCTCACTCCTACGTCCTTATCTCGTGGTGGGGAAGATCATACGCCTTGGCTGGCCTTGAGATTTCACCGGTACGATTCTGTTGCAGTTATTTGGTGCACAAAGGTCACTATGACCACTGCACAGTCTCCGTTTGCGAAAAGAGCGGGCTTTTCAGACAGAGCGATGTAACAACTGAGACGCTTATTCGCGATCATCTGTACCTGTGAGTACATTTTCTGCGTCATTTGTGCGTGAGAAACGCGGGGCATGTTTCGATCTGCTCGCCATTCTGTGCGTGTGCTTCCAATTTGTTGCTATCTCGTTTATTGCTTTGCCTTTGTGGCAAAGCTGCGACTTTTTTTTTTCTCCTACTCATCCACATGAGTAAGGTGAGGTTTGTGCAATTTGAATAAATGTCTTGGTTTATTAAATAAGTGTACTTTGCTTAAATGAAACTCCTAATAAATGGAAGTTTTCTGGACACCTTCGAGTTCCGTTTAAAAGGAGTCGACTCTACATTACTATATGACTCGTGATTCGCTACGGTTGTAACATACCCATTCAGTGTTTTCATAAGAGTCCGTCATAACAGTACTTGGATTTTACATTCTACTTTTACAACAGACCAAAATCATCTTCACTGTGGAGGTCCGTTACAATGAAGTTATACTGTCTAATGGATTTTCGGATATAACAAGCTTTTTTCTTGTAAGATGCAACTTTGCTATACACTGGAATCTTGATTATACGAATTCGAAGGGAGCACACAAAATATTCGTATTATCCCGAATTTTTATGAACCAAAAACAAGTTATAGCTGATCAAGAAGATGAACAGGAGCTTTATTGAGGACAGCTACTTCTTTCTGACAATAACTCCATGCTGTTCTTTTGAACTTTTCTGCCTTCCCGGTCTCTCAATAAAATGCAGCGGTTTCCTCACTCATGATGCTGGCACTTAAATGTGCGTTGAGACATGACATCAAAGAGAGTGAAAGCGGCAAAACTCATAAGAAATATCACTCACTTTGCCGCTTAAGTGGCTGGAAAACCACGCAGCGAAGTCGTCAAAGAAAAAAAACAGTCCTGGAGAATTTACACTGGAGAATTCAAGCGAAAATGCCAGAGCAGCCGGAAAACCATGTCCGCGCTCGTCAAAAACATTCACATTCCTTGAGCCCCTTAGATATGACACCGCCGCCGCCGCCATTGCCGCTTGTGAATTAATTCCATGTTGCCTGTTTCCTGAGCATTAAATTCGTACCAACTTCAAGTTATGCTTGCGAAGCACTGAAAAGTAACAGCTTACAGCTTTACAAACGTTGTTTTTGGAGATACACCAGTAGAAACGACACGAGCAGACGCACCAGCAGCGATGGCGATGAATTAAGCCGGCAGCACAAAAGCGAGACACATTAGGGCATGCTGACTCGCTGCTGCTGCACCTTCTACTTCCAGTGTTCTTAGCGATCGTAATCCAAACCAGGCTATCGATTTATCGATGAACAAGTCCTTGTCAAGGCGGTCAGCATTGACATGCTGCACAGGTAGTTCACGATTGCGCCAACACGATTCCCCGCTGACGCCTTTGCCGCCATGTTGAATTTGTAGCCTGCTGGTTGTTTACATCACATAGTTTGAGAGCTAGTGCGGCCAGTGTAGCCAAAACCGTGAATCAAAAAGATGATCTGCTATCGGGTGGCAGAAATATTGGCCTTTTTCAGGTAAGTAGTGCGCGTATGGATGCCAGCCTTGAGGACTGTTGCGTACTGTATAGCTACCACCACTACTGGGTAGTGCCCTTTTCTTAGCTCGCGACTGCAACTGCGCAGAGCTGATAGACGGAGCAGACAAGAGGATGGTGAGTTAAGGCAACATTTATGTACAGAATAAACAGAGGCATTACATATTCGGCACTGGGGCCGATAGCTTAAGGAGCTCGAAGAGCCGGGATGTCTTGGGACGCTCTGACGCTGTCGTATGCTCCGACGCTATCGTCTGCTGCTTGGTTCTTTTATAGGCCCTGGGGACCGTTACGTCAGAAACCCCCAATCAGAACTGCCGCTTGCTCTTGCGTCAGCAGCCTCCAATGCGAAACGGCCGTTGTTCCTTGCGTCAGCAGCTTCCAATTAAAACCCGCCGATGGATTGCACCCATGGGCGAGTGGTATTGCCACGCGTTGCGCAAGACACATCGGGTTAGATGACGTCGACTTCATCACCAGGCTGGAATCAGACCCATGGATGGAGGGAGCTTGCTGTGCGTTGCGCGAGACAAACTGTTGACAGTGATGGCATTAGCGGAGCACGCTCGCTGATTTTGACACTGGTTGCCTTTGCAGAAGCAATGAAGTTCGGTTTGGACACCAAGGCATAACAGGAGGCACGCATCACGATTCTTGGCGGCCAAAGCACGACAGCATGTGCAGACCAAACAATCTGGAACCACAAAGATGCAAATGTTTGCCTCAAAGGGAGGCGCGAATGCAGGCCTCCAGATTGCCTACCAGCATGCGGCAGACAATATCGTAGTTGAAGGGGCATCAGTTTTAGTTTCTGTGATCTTCACTTGAGTTGCTGTGCTTATTAGAAAAGGCCAAGCCCCGTTGGTCTTCAACAGATTTTTTTGCGCCGTAGTTTTTGGTCAGTTAACACTTTCGTGACCGCGCCCATCCCCATCGATGGTATGTTTTGGATGTTTACAACTTGTATATTTGCCCTGTTTTGAATGCTTTTTGACCCCTTGGGCTATCTAACGCGTAAAAGAAAAAAGTATTTTATCAGTTTCGCTCTTGTGTTTGTTTTTTTCGCCCTGTGGTGATTAGCGCCTTTTCATGCGCACGAGTGAGCATGCATAGTTTCAATCATGGCGTCTACGTCGCGTGTGACCGCTTCACAAAACCGGCAAATTTTGGTGGATTCTCGTGCATCTGGGCTGAAATATTCAAATGACGACAACAGCACAAGCTCGTAAGACGACATTGACACTTTTGATTTCAACGGGGACGACGAGAGTTCGTCAAACCGCACCGGAACATCAGCAGTCATCCACCGATGAGTTTAGCTTTGCGCTCGGGCCGCATTATTGCCGGCAGGCAACGGTGCAAGTTGATGTGGTGTGTTCTGAAGGTTAGAGCTCTTATCTGCAGGGCGTCCACTTTCTTCGGGGAAGACTACTTGCCGGCGGCAGTGCAGGGAGTGCAGTTTCGTGTGCGGATGCAGCCGAGAGTGAACCTTGGAGCCGTGTTACGTAGTGTCGTGCGGCGATTTGTGAGCGCTGTCGACTTTTTGTTTTTTGTTGTTAAAGTTATTGAGAAGCTATGCAAAAGCACAAATAAATAAGCTTGAACGCACATTTTCCAGAAGCCGAGGTGCAGCGAGAGAGACTGTTCTTGGAGGTCCCACAGACCATCTTGATGTCCCTACACGAAACACTCCTCAGGGCTAATAGCACCAGCCAAAAAGAAATACCAGGAACTGTGAATTATGCTATGAACAAAGAAACGTTGAACAGAAAGCAAGTGTTTTCTTTGAAACATGCGTAGCAATCCTGTGTTTTACCGCATCGGGAAACTGCTTCGCACGGTGGCATGAAAGACACTACGTGCAATGTTATTTTACGTACACAAAATCTTCTGTATTTACAGCGCTTATATTTGCAGGATAATTGTGCGTGCTCCTTGTGCTTAAAATGTATATTTCCTTTGCTTTTTATGCTTAGCCTGTTCAGAGCAGTGTTGATGGTTCTATGAAATTTCTTTGTTCATGTTTACAACCTTTTTTGTTTGATGATTTTTTTTTGCACTATTGCTAGCAAATTTGTGGTTTCAAACTAACCGTGATTGAAAAGTAACTCCTAGCTGTACAATTTGACATTATAAACATTAACATCAGTAACTTTGGGTGCCATAAAAAATAATGTTTCTAGACTACCCAAGAGTGGCCAAATTTCTCGCGGTAACGAAAGTGTTAAAGCGAGGGAAATTCTGGTGAGTATTGCCACATTAACTCCCTTCGAGGTCAAGTGTGAATGCGCCTGGTCCTCCCACAGACAAGCTGAGTTGCGCTGCGAACGTCAATCGCACGTTCATATCATTCGAGGTGGCTGGGGAAGCCATTCGTATAATACCAAATCATGGCATATTTTATATAATTTAGTCTATTCGGAACAACCTTAAAATTCGTAAAATCACGTAATTCCCATGAACCATGGTCGTATTATCAAGATTCTCATTGAGGCCTGAGTGTATATGTCTATTAGTTCATTTTGAATACCTTGAAACATTGAATAATTTTAATTTGTGTCAAACTGAAATATAATACAGAGATATTCATTGGGATATTTGAAATGCTTGAATATTTGCACATGCCTAATATTTAATTACATTCAAACCTCTATATAACGAATTCAGGTGTAACGACATATCGGTTATAACAAAGTAATTGAAAAATAGTCTTGTAATAGCTGTAGAGTTAAAAATATGCATTTACAATTAATCTTCAGATATAACAAATTTATTTTCGTGTAAGATGCAATAGTAAGGTTTGGGCGTATTAAAATCAACCAAACTTGGAAAAAAAATTAAGATGTAGGCAAGAGTACCGAGTAGGAAAGAATCAACTAATTAGGTTACTTTTCAACAATAGACAGAAGTGGAAATGCTCACCACTAAGACATCAGAGTACATTTGCTGCATGGCTCGCCGATGAATGTCATTCAGGGCTTGATGCGCAAGGGCAAACAGACCATTGAACCTGTCCATGTGAACAAAATAATACAAATTTTACTCTGTGATACTGTCGCATTAGTATGAATTTTGCAGCACTTTCCATGAGTTCCCAAGCATTCCCAAACTTTCTGACCTAAGAGGATCCCACTAGCCATCCCAGAGGGCTGCACAGCATATTTTCAAAGCCAAGCCTGTTTGCATGGTCAGAAATACGTGTCTCCAGCTACATTCAATCGTACCTTTCTGATGATTGGACACCAGACCAAAGCAATGAGAGATGGTCTTGGTATGTCTCAAAGCAACTGAGAAATAAGATGCTTTTGAGATATGCGAAAATCCTCTTTCTCGTGGATGCAGTGGCATGGCAACTCTTGCTCTTTTCACAGCGGCACTAATTAGTACCACTGGTCCCGGTCGTGTCCAGTGTTTCTTCAGCTTCAGCTTCCTTCCCTTTCGCTGATTTCAAAAGAAGTGAGCAGTTCACTTTTTATAAGACATCTGTACTTCGAGCCTAGAGCACTGAAACAATTGGTACACTCAGATTCGGAGGATCACAGAGAAGAGATTAGTATGCACTCATGTATTGACTGAGCAGACCACAGACAGGCAGGCTAAAATGCCAGCATAATTTTACATTACTTTTGTGTTTATTCTGCTTGCCCAGTAGGTGATCCGCTAAGACCAGACAGATACAGAAAGCATCAAGGCTGTCAGCTCACATGGAGTAGTATATAGCTTGTAGCATTTCCAGGAGGATCTGCGGGTTCAGATTGACACGTGGTGCAAAGTTGGAAGGCAGGCTGCTGTCAAAAGACATCCGCCGAACAGTTTCGAGCGTTCCTTGGTTCACCACCCTGCACAGTTCACGAAAGTATTATATATTTAGCCATGGTCTGAGCAATGCAATATTGAATCCAACAGACCAGTCTAGAACAGAAATCTTATGGGCACCAGATGACTAGTGTTATGAATGAAGAATGCAAACAAAAACTGTGCTTCACATTCTGTGTTGGGAAATGGCTTTTTGTTGCCTGCTATGACACCAACCTTCAAAGCATTGCGACTCGAAAGTATGTATATCTATGATTGTGCCAACACCAAGTATAATGCTCATGTCCAATTGATGATGTTAAAAGGAGTCATTTTGTTTCACTTTGGCAATGAAAAGATGTGCAGGATATCCAAGATGCAGAGTGGCTGAGAGTCAGCCCTACAATATCAGATTGTTAATAATTAACCAAGTACTAATAGCTTGCTTACATATGTTGTCTCAGCTTGCCTGCTGAAATTAGCAACCATACATAGCAACAACATTCAGAACTTGGGCTTCAATTTGTAAAAAAAAAAGTTCTTACACCAATTAAATCACACAATAACATAGCAAATGGGAACACAACATGCACTCTAGTCTGTTACTGCTATACACTTGGAACGTGGAAACTGCCGATGATTGGAAGTTCACATTACCTGCTTTAATTGAGGGGTATAAGCCTTGTGACATTTACAACCCTGATGAAACAGGCCTGCTCTTTCATGTAAAGCCATCAAAATCGTTAAGCCAGAAGGGCACAGCGTGCCACAGAAGCAAATGTAGCAAAGACCGGCTGACGATGCGCCTTTGCTGCAATATGGACGACTCGGACAAACTAAACCGGTGGGTGATTGGCAAGCTTAGAAACCCACGGTGCTTCAAAAACATTCGCCTGCCATCATGCCACCACAGAAGTAATGCTCGTGCGTGGAGGACGTGCGCTTTGTTTGAACAGCGCCTCCTCTATTTTTTCAGTGCTCAGGTGAAGGAGCAGTTTTCAATGGGAAGCAGCCGTTGGCGTAAGTGTGGCAATACGCCGCCAGGGACTGGAGTAGACATGACGCTCTATCATCTCTCACACAAACGAATGCCGCAGCTGTATTCGGAGCTGCTATACGGCTCAGTTTCTGGCTGTATTCGCACTGTTTAAGGTGTAATAAAAACTTGGAAACGAGAATCGTGAAGCAGTTGTTCTGTACACCCAGCTCATTTCAAAGGCATGTGTCTGTCGTTCATGACTACTTGATCGAGGTGCACACACGTCGTCTGCTAGGCTGATACCAGATAGCTCATGCCAGTAATTCGTCAAAGATCGTTATGTCATCATGGCGTTCGCTTCACTGAGAGTTTGCTTTTTTGACTAACTCAAAGCTGATTTTTAAGAGAAGCCTTTGCCAGGAGCAATATTAGGCTTGGGTGCCTAATGTTCCGCGATGCTTGGTGCTTTTTAGTGGCGTTGCACATTATGCACAAGCCTATAGTTCATGCACTAAAAAAAGCATAAAATGCCACTAGACTGCTTCCAGGGATATAGGTCATCATTCGTTTTTTTCGCAAAGCATTACATGTGTTGTCACAGAGCAAAAGCAAGTGTCGAAAAATAAGGAACTATGGCATGTGATTTCACCATTTAAGAGCTTAAACAATAAAATGTCATGAAATAAACAAGAACAGCTCCATATGTGGTGTGATTTCTGCGTTCATGGCCTATGTTTTGAACAGGCGCTGTTAAAATCTGAAGTCTAATGCTCACTCTCATCTTCAGCCAAGGTGACAGGCGTGAAAAATGCAACCTGTTGTCAGTTGCTTGAGCTTGTCTATGAATGTAGACGGATTGTTGTAGCCTTAATATCTGGCTACTCAGCTCTGTTTCTTTCTTGCCTCTGGCCTCTTAATTCAACAGCAACCAGAGTAGAGGCTGAATGGCTGTGTGGTGCCCATGGGCTACCATTCAGCTTAGGGTCGTAATGTTAGCGTTGCCCATGGCAGTGATCATAAGGCAGCGTTGCTACTAATAGACTCATTACGACAAGCTACTTGCAGCCGTTGGGTGCCGGGGCCATAAAATGCGTAAAGCATTCGTACAGAAAAAGCATCATCAAGTGCTCTCTCGCACGCATTGATTGTAGACAGCAGTCTACGACAATTTCAGAACTCAACGCCATGCATTACGACACATCAGCGTGGAGTGCAGTGAGTGCGTTAACTGTAGAACACTGCTTCGCGAGGTGTGGGTTCCGTATGGACAGCAAAGGGGAGCCTGCCATCGAAGCACAACAATCAGAAGCATCCTTTTGTGAGCAAGAGCTCAATGGGCCAATGAATGCACTGGGCGCCACTGGTACAACGTATGACGACTACGTCGCTGTGGATGCTGCCGTCGTATGAATAAATATAAATTGCTACCCCCCCCCCCCGTTGATATCAGCTAAAAACTTCTATGAAACTTTCGCCGCAAAAAAAAAAAAACTGCATCTTCGATGTGCTACTGATGCAGACAGGGAAGGAGGGGGCAAAAGTATCGTATTTATTCGAATCTAAGTCAATAATTTTTTTTACTCCTTTGTATCCAACTCCAGAGCCAGCTTAGATTCGAGGATTTTGAAAATTGCACCAGTATTCATTGAGAAAAGTGGTGCACAACTAGTGCCCCCTAGACGATATTGTAGCTGTTAATAGCTGACCCAACACCTGGCTTAAGTACACACGTGAGACCGCCATTTTGATCTTTGTGGCAAGTGTTGAGATAAGCCTTTTGTCATCTTCAGTCACGCTTTGAGTTGTCTGTGTGGTGTAGTTAAATGGGGCCAAATAGACAGTGTCATTATAGTGCCACTTATACAAGGAAATTTGTCCTAGCCACAAAGTCGTCGTCTAACTTTCAAGCCGGGCGGGACTTTGAAGTGTAAAAAAAAAATGCGTTGCTGTAGGGGCTACAGCATGGGACGACATCCCCAAAACTTTGATTGTGCGCTCTTTTTAAGAAGTGCGACATAGCCGATGCGCTTGATGGAACCGAGGATTGTGCAGTGTTTGAATACAGTGACAAAGAAGTCAGCGGCGGCGGCAATGACTCGGAATGAGCGCGGCATCTTTATGATGCAAATAACTAGAAGCAGCGAGAAAAAAAACAAGGACGAAGAAACACAAAGGACTAGCAGCTGTATGTTTTTCCAGTCATTTGCATCATGACACAACTGCTTTGTTTCATCTTCATTTTCAATAAATGTTTGCTCTTTGTGAACGCTGTCTTCGCTGTTTTGCTCAGACTACATTCGAGGTAAGCTTGTTTTTTTTCCCCAGGCTCTGAACTTTTGGGGGTCAGCTTAGAATGGGGCATGGCCTAGATCCGAGAAAATACAGCAAAAGAGTTGGGGTGAACCAGCAATGCACATCCCTGGCTGTTCATCACACACATCCTCTCTGCTGCGATTGCTCCTTCCTTCAAAAGCAGGGCACACAAGAATGCCACCTATTCATTACAGCTTCCTGGACCGGCAACAGGAATGGTGGCCACCATTGCTTAGTAATCACACTAACCTTGAGCACATTTTGCAGAATGAGGCTCTGGATGCCTGAGGCATGGAGCTGATTGACTGGTTGTAGACGCGCATTAGGACAATGGCCACCTGCAGCCTAAAAAAACAACAAAATTTCAATTTAAAAAGAATCAAAGTGTGCAAGCAAGCAGGACCAGTGAATTATACAATCTATTGGGTGGATTTATTTACACACCACTGCAGAATCTGCACAACTCCGCACTTCCGACCCAAAACTCAACTGGCATTATTTTTACAGAGAATGCAGGCATGCAAACTAAAGAAAAGACCAAATTAAGAATAATTACATATTACATAATTCTTACAGATGTACTTGCTTTCTTTCATTTCACGGAGACCGCCTTTTTCACTTTTTTATTCACTCTACTGCTTGGCACATGTCGCGCCTCATTTTGCATGCCACTTCATGATGCCGACTGTTCGTAAAAGATATGTGGAGTTTAACATCTCAAAACCACCATACGATTATGAGAGGCACCATAGCGGAGGGCTCCGGAAATTTCAAATACCTAGGGTTCTTTACCGTGCACCAAATATGAGCAAACAGGCCTATAGCATTTCCGCCTCCATTGGATGATGCCGACTGTTCAACAAAGATCAAATGCCCAATGCATATGTTTGAGCATAGAGTTTAAAAAAAAACACACAGAGAACTATGGTGCTGCAATCGTTCAGCCACCATGGGAATGATCAGTTGTACATGGATTTGCCTAATCCTCCTGCTTGCAGGCTTCGAACGCACTTGCGGCCTTGCTTTGGTTTTGTCTCAAACACAGTTAAACTTGTTTATAAGAGGCATGCTCGGGGCAGCAATTCTTGTCTTTTATACGAGATGTCTCTTATAAGCAGGGAACCTAATATGCATTTTCCTATACCCTGTATTTGATTGTTGGCATATTAGCGTCTCTTACACCCATTTGTCTCTTATATCAGTGTCTCTTATAAAGGGGTTTGACTGTAAACAAAAAACAGATTGTTGTGAACTTCATGAGCCGATTTGAATTGGTGAGCCTAAAAGGTCAAAATGGTGAAGCGTAACTGCTAAATTTTTGCTGAACTTTGTCTACCGCCGGAGTGGATTCAGGCCACAAAGAGTCATCAGAAAGTCAACTGAGCAAGTTAGTGGGCTTCCATCTTGAACGAATACTAGTGTGAAAAAAACGAGGATGAAAAGAGGAAAGACAGACTATAGGGCTGACTCGAAACTAAAATTTTATCCCAAAAAAAAGCAGAATAAATAGCATCCGGAAAAACTAAAAAAACAAACAACCATTGTGCATGCACAATGTGACAAAAGAAACAGCAACAGCCTATGTGGCTGATGAGACATGGACATGACACAAGCTCTCCTTGAGGTATGATACTTCTGCATCTGGTAGTGCCAACAAAGTTGACCAATGGATACTTTTGTCGCCTTCCACTGACACGTAGAAGGCCTCCATGATTTCCCATGAGCACTGGTCTCTGTGCCAATGCAAGATTTCCGTTATATCAAAACAAGGCTTACAAGCATTTCTTCTACAATGAATGGCCAAATGGGAACCTGTGCCATTTTTAACACTTCGATATTTATGCACCGACTAGTTTGCCCAAAGTAAAGCGTATTGCAAGAACATAGAATACTGCATTCGTTCGACAAATTACAAACTTATTTTTGGGTTTTACCGCACAGTTTTGCCACATGTCGTATTTTCCTCCGTTCAACTGCCTATGCACAGCTGGACATACCTGCTGCAACTTGTGGCCAACGCTGACTACAGAATCAACTCGGTACCTAGTACCCCCAATTTCAATCCTGTGCAACAACCTATGCACATAAGGAATCGCAGCTACATTCTTTCGAGTGGTAGTGTGATTATGTTCTTTTATTCCAGCCAAGCTTTTACTATCTTTGCCACTTCTTCGCATGTCCTAGTGATAACCCAATCAGGGTACCATCCTGCTTCTTCAAGTCTTGAGACTTGCGTTGTGAAACTTTGTTGCATTTTGTGGGGACAAGATTTAAACAATGACAGTGATACAACATTTAGGTTCGCCGCTGGGAAATCAATGGCGACAAAAGTCCGCCGAGCTTGTGCAAGTCTGCATAGGGGTAGCAAAGCTCGCGTCAAAAATTCGAAAGGCTTTTAAATTTGCGGACGAGCTAACAAACACGATAACGATGACACTTTTTCAGACAAGAAACTCGAAGTGCACTTGATAAGGATGCGATCGCACGTTCCATGCGGAGCTCGCACGGCCAAAGCCATGCTGACGCAAAGGTTACTCGACGCCCTCACGCAGCTGGCGCAGCGATGCCGCGCTCTTTTTTTCTTTTCCTTTTTCCTCATTCCAGTTAACATAAGAGGGTGTAGAACTGCAACTGTGCAAGTACGGTACAGAACTACTGATCATGGCCATGTTCGGGAAATAAAAAAAAAATCTGATTATTCATGACCAAACTGGGAGTACGCCTGTTATGCAACTAAATACGGTATCATGAAAGCATGAACAGCTGAAGGGTAGGTCCTAGTGCGCCAGCGAACGCTGGTTGTGACTCGAAGGCCCAAGTCAAAGCCAGAAGTTTATAACACAAGCAACATATATTAGCAGTTTAGGCAGTACAAGCATCACACGAACATGCACCCTCGGCTGGTACCAATTACTACTTACAATATATCTTAAGTTGTGTATAAAGCAATGGTAACAAAACTTTTTCTGCTAGTTGATGCCACTAGCATGTGAAGCCAGCAGGAAATCTCATGAACGTACTACAGTGCAATCTCCTGTACTACAAACTATTAAAGGTCGCTTTTAAATATTATGTCCATTCCACGAATTTTTGGTACTTGTCCCGAATGTTTCTCTTGTCTTTCAGGAACCACTCATGCAGACTCCAGTGCTGATCATTATCGTTCCCTCCATTGTTAGCCCGTTTATGTTTCCTCTTCAAAAGTTTTCACTGCTCCCTCAGGGTCATCACTCAATTCTTCAAGATCCACTGACAGCACTACATTATTGTCATGTGTTGCTTATAAGGACGCTGGTGAAGTAAGGAAGACAAAGGCATTAAGCCAATGCAACGCTAACAACAGAGATTAAAGAAAAGGAAGAGGGACGCGAGGAACCCTCGTAGCACGAAAATTTCGGAACAAAAAAATAAGAGTGAAGGGAGAGGAGAAATGCAGAAGCAGCGCGCGGGGGAGATGCAGAGTTGGGCGGAAGAAGCAGCCATGCGGAGAAGAAACCCTGGCTCCTGCCGATGCCTGTTGCCTCTGAGCCTGTGACTCTGAAGGGTTGACGGAAGTTCTCGGGTAGTGTACCTGGGCACCAGTCGCCTTACCGTACACCGACGACGACCGTTCACAACACCCCACCTGTCTACCAGACTATCAGAGGAACAACTAGCCCCGACTCTGAAGCATTGCGTCTGGGACGCTCCCGATTTCTGCGGCTGGCACCAACAGTGATGTGTGCACCTTGACTATGTCTTCCTTACACGAACTGTGAACTGAGTAAATGCTTATCGATATCTACTTAATGTACATACGACGAGTATTGTTGAATATTGTGTATAATGCGAGTTGGTTGAGTCTTTATAAAAAGTCTGTGTGTGTGTGTGTGTGTGTGTGTGTGTGTGTGTGTGTGTGTGTGTGTGTGTGTGTGTGTGTGTGTGTGTGTGTGTGTGTGTGTGTGTGTGTGTGTGTGTGTGTGTGTGTGACCAAGAATGCATGCTTTGTCCTTTTGATTTCTTCTGAACCTGCTACGCTGAATTCACTACACCGTGGCAATTATAGAACAAGCCTTCTTTCACTAACACTCTCACTTGAACAACATCACTTCACTGACTGACACCCCACACCTAGGTTCTACATTATTCGTGTGTAACACAGAAAAAGCTAGAGAAAGGGCTAGATCTACCTTCTCACAGGTTTGTTTGCAGAATCAGACAGCACATTCTTTCATTTCTCGAATTCTTCCGCTCTTCCGCGTGTATTAGGCTGTCTCGGTGGTGTCTCTGTCTTCTGCGAATAGGGTATGGAGGACGTTCTCACCGCCTTCTGACACTTTTTTTTTTTTTCCCTGCTTTGTGCACTCATTGAAGAAACTGTTGGTGGCGTGATTACATGCTGTCATCTCAAAGTGGTGGCACACATCTGATTAAGCACTCATTTGGGACAATGGAACACTAAACGGCATATGCATGATCCAAGCAAAGCTGGCTACAAGAACTTAGCATGCATTAGGAAGCAATCCTCACCTGTTGCTCGCACTCATAACATCAACAGCAGGGTGCGGGCCTTGCACCACTTTGCTGTCTCCATGCTCCAGTTTGGACAGCATGTTTTCAGTCAGCTGAGGTTGCGGCAGCGATATAGGCTGCATAGGCACGAAACACCAGTCAAAAATACACTCGGACCTCGATATAATGAACATGGATATAACAAATTATCAGTTATAATGAAGTGAATACAAAAAAGTTTTGCGATAGATACAGTATTAGGAATATACCTTTATAACGAATTTTCCTGAATAACAAACTTAATTTTTGTGTAAGATGCAACTCTGTTATAATCAGGCTTGAGTGTATTGGTATTTGGTTATACATGCCTGTCAATGTTTTTGTGATTGCTTTGATAGCCATGAAGCTTGATAGGCAACAAGAGTGAACAGAAATAGAAGTGCTGAACAAAGAGGTCCCTGTTTTATTCCATCATTGCAATTTGTGTTGACAGCATAACGATTGATAGGCAACAAGAGTGAACAGACATAGAAGTGCTGAACAAAGAGCCTCTTGTTTTATTCCATCGTTACAATTTGTGTTGATAGCAGAAAGATTGATAGGCAACAAAAGTGAACAGAAATAGAAGTCCTGAACAAAAAGCCTCTTGTTTTATTTCATCGTTGCAATTTGTGTCATTATTTGATGTGCACTCCCTCGCTTGCGCACGCACACAGGCACACACAAACACACACACACAAAAGTGCGATAAAGTCCAGTGTGCTCTATTTAAATTTTAAGTTTAAGGGGCACTAGAGTGAAACCATGATTTCACCTAGAATGATTATATAATTGTACTTTGAAAACACTAATGATGTTTAGTTTAACTATCATATATTTATTAACACAAAAAATGAAGGTCACAGTTTCATTTGTCAATTTTGCACCGAAATCTCCAAACACGATTATACATTATTCGAAGTGCATTCTTCATACTTTGGAGATATTGGCTCAATGACATTTACTGAAATTTAGTGCATTAGGTCTATGGCCCCCTCAGAGAACAATGTACCTAACTTTTACCATTTAGGAAATATGTATGACCTAGTAGATGCTGTCAAAATTTATTACATCACAGCATTTGGTGCGGAAAATTGAAGGTGGTGTCACTACCTGCATTTTATTTTTGTGCATTTTTCCCTTACTGAGCATCTTCTCACAGTAGGAGCAATGTTTATTGTATTGTGAAATTGTAAATTGCTAACATGCAATAAATAGTCTCTCTTTTAAGTGTTTCTTCTACAAAACTGTTTTTGGGCTGATTACTGACAGTTATAGACAGGGACAACTTTCCTTGGCAATGAAAGGAAGGCTATGGAGCCAAATTGGGCATGTGCCACTGCTGAAGAATATAGTCTCACAATTGCATTCGTGTTTCGCATGTGAAAATTTACAGATGACACTAATTTATTTTCTACAAGATCCAGTTTACATAGCGCAGCATGCACCAAGGAGGCATCTTCATTGTTTTACTAGATGCAATGTCATTTCTCGTTTTTATATGTGTGGGAAAGTTGCATGTTTTACGTGCACCAAAAATGTATGTACCTCGCAGTCACAATGGCATCTTCAACTCAGGGTGAGCACTCGTCGCCCCTCCAGCTATATCGACGATGCACCAAAGGAGTTTACGACTAATTTCACTAACAATGGCTGTCTAAGCAGACAAATCAAATAGTATGCAATGTTATTATTGACATGAAAGTAATTTTAAGTGCAAATGAATTGAACTACTTCACAAAAAATTACATTTGTGGTAGCTCCCCTCCCCTTCATTGCCAAAAAAAGTTGTCCACGAGTATAGAAACACGGATTTCCACGGAAAACTGAATATACCAATCCTCGGTTGATATCCCTTTTCTGATAAAGAAGCATTTTCATTGAGGCGTGGCAGCAACATTGTTGACCCTTACACTTACAGCCCCACAGACCACACCTGGCAATTGAGTGGCCCACTAAGCAACATCCGGCGTCAGAGATTTTCTATATTTGATATTATAACTGGACTATCTAGCAGCTAGAATAAATGTTTTGGCTAAGTGGAAACAATATTTGTTTCACTATAACCAACACAACGTCGGATCTCACAGAAGAAGGATATCATTACTTTGTTATAGTCGATCATTTGGTATATTCACATGCACTGGGCTGAGGTATTATGCAAAAATTGATTTCACACATAAATAATGGAGAACTCCACATGCTGTTTTACCCTGTAATGTTTACTTCTGTAAACCAAAGACTACAAAAACAAAAACAGTTAACTACAAAGGTGGATGACTGTGCATTAAACAACACACATTCGAAAAACACTTCTGTGCAATGCACATGCTATGAAGGAAACACAAGTGACATTCATATTTGCACAATACTTGATTACAAACACACTGCAAACATTATAGAAACTTTAGTACATGCGGTACTGCTGGTAATCTGCTGGTAAACAGTCGACATGTGTGAAATTAAATATTCTATCATTGTCTTTACAACAGCATTCTACTGTACCTTATCAATCTTGCTAATCTTTACATAACTTGCAGACCCGACAAAACCTACCTATTTCCGTCTTCATGGGTAATAGTGCTCTAAGCTCAAACTGAAGCTGCAATTTTTTTTCAATGCAGTAGACATGGTTTACTTACAATTTATGTTTACTTAAAATTCACAGAAAAACTAGTTTCACAAACTGCATTGACAGTATTGAAGATAATCTCTACAACTATCAGTCAAAGCAACAGTACCTTAATTAATGCACATTTAGCACTTGATTTGCCAAGCCAACTAAGTCAATAAATATTGATATGTATATGCTCTACAAAGTCTTGCTGGCTGCTTTGTACATTTATAAAATACTGTGATCCATGTCTGAATGCCTATTTGGTTTAATTTTCATAAAAATTTATGCTTGCATTCATTGATTGATTGATTTGTGGGGTTTAACATCCCAAAACCACCATATGATTATGAGAGACGCCGTAGTGGAGGGCTCCGGAAATTTCGACCACCTGGGGTTCTTTAACGTGCACCAAAATCTGAGCACACGGGCCTACAACATTTCCGCCTCTATCGAAAATGCAGCCGCCGCAGCCGGGATTTGAACCCGCGACCTGCGGGTCAGCAGCCGCAGACCAGCAGGTCGCTAGCCACTAGACCAGCGCGGCGGGGCGTGCTTGCATTCAACCGGAACCACTCAATACAAATGTAATGACTTGCACAAATGTTGCACCTTTGCTTTTTTCTCTGCAAATAGTTTTTTCATGTTCTTGCAGAGGGCATCTTTCACACTTCAAAACCTGGTGCCAAGAACGTAGAAGCACAGACTGCGTAAACTACCAGCGGCTCAGCAAACGAAGCTAGTAAAAAAAAAAAGGCTACTAATAGACCCTTTTCAAACAATCCCACAACGCCCTTGTACGCGGAGAGAACGGGCTCTTGCTGCGCTCGCTGCTCGTTGGCGCCGTGCGAGCACAAAACGAAGAGAACATGTCACCGCTTTTTGAATAGGATTTGAATGCACCTGCACTAATATCTATGCATGAAATGAGAAATGAAAAAAGCAGCCAGTGTAGGTATCACTGGACAGGTGTACATCGAACGCAGAAGATGAGCGGCATGCGAGTTGTTGCACACTGATACATGTGGTAAAAACATCCTACCGTGAGGAATGTGAGCTGGAACATTGAGTTCATAGTTATTCAACGATGACCAGCTCACAAAGCGCTATGGCTTTTAATACCATCACGGTTTGATCGGGCCGTTAACTTAGGACTGCACAGAAGTGTTAATGCTACAGTCGACTCTGGTTAATTCAAACTCGAAGGAACCTGTGCACTTTGTATCAATTATTGAAAAATTTGAATTATCAGAAGTTCTCAGATAGCGAAACTAGGTGAGGCGACACCACACATTATGGCTAGGCATTCATTTTATCACATTTAAAAATTTTTAAAGAGTTTTTAAACCCTAACTGCACACAATGAAGAAAAAGCAGAGGTGTAATGTCCACAAATTTATTGGCCATTCATTGCTGATAGATGATTTGATATAAGGGTTTAACGTCCAAAAACCACCATATCATTATGAGAGACGCCATAGTGGAGGGCTACAAAAATTTCGACCACCTGGGGTTCTTTAACGTGCGCCCAAATCTGAGCACACATGCCTACATTTCCGCCTCCATCGAAAATGCAGCCGCCGCAGCAGGGATTCGAACTCACGACCTGCGGGTCAGCAGCCGAGTAGCTTAGCCACTAGACCACCACGGTGGGGCGGCCATTCACTGCTGATCAGACGTTTTACAGAAATTGTGAATTGCCAACTTCTCTGCTATAGGTATGTGTCTTCAGCACGACACACTCTATACCAGTTGAGAAGCATCAGTGCATGTACTTTGTTTCAAACATTTGTTTACTAGCAAAGACTTTTTCCTTGAAGGCCTGAGGTGCTTATTTTTCATTTTTAGACTGTTAGAATTATAAAAGCACACATTTTTAAACAGTAGTGGGAAATCAGCAGATATTTTCTGGTATGGTACTGCAAAAAAGTATGAATCAACCAAATGATGGAATTTAAAGTAAAAGGCTTTTAAATACATTGAAAGATTAGAAAGCCAACCAAAAAATTGGATTTTGTTTGAATTAATCAAAAGTATGAATTTTCAGAGTTTGAATTATTGCAAGTATACCATAAAAATTTAATTTTTTTATGTACAGAACACGCACTGATAAAAAGAAATAAACACATTCTGAACGTCTTTAGAACAAGAGATGGAACTAGAATTCACTTGCGAAATACCTTTCTCTGATAATTTGTGGTTTCTTATAAGATGCTCAAGTGTATCTGCGGAGCATATTTGCTGGCAATATATATTCCGCATTGAGTGAGACCATCATTGAATTTCGTGTTGGCGCATTCAAATATTGTTCAATGAGGAATAATGATATTGTACTTATGCTAGGCAAAAAAACAAGAACAAACTTGGGCACATTACCTGAGCTACAAGAAGGCAGCGGTGCCCTGCCTATATCATATTGCATCGATTTGTGAGCAGCTCATTCACACTGCAAACAAAGATTAATTCGGACGAGCTTCACCCACGAATAAACTAGAAATATTGCACTTATTCTAAGCATATGTTCTGCACAGTCTGAAAGGAACTTAAGTGATACGAGGTGAGGGTTGTGTTTTCCACACCATAAGCTTTGCATTATTTTTTGCATTATTTCTTCTGTAGAGCACACACAGTCGCAGGGGTTAACAGTGGGCAAAGAAGAGTACCATGAGGGGTATGATAATTGTTTCAATTGTTTTGCAAAACTTGCTAACCGAATCCCTTTTGTGTTCCCATACAGTTCAACTACAACGCTACAATGAACGCCGCTTCAACAATATTTCCACTACAGAGAAAAATTCACGGTTCCCCATTTGCAGTCCATAGGAGTCAATGCATAAGTATTGTCGCCACAACGAACACTTTTTACTTTGCTGTCCCGCTTCAACAAAATTTCGCGATGCTATTCCAGGCCCAGATATTTATTGCTATACAATAAACACAGTCTTTAACATTTCGATGCATTTTCAGAACTTGAAACTATGTCGACGAAGTACAAAACACGCGTTGGCACCACCAGAAACCGCCGTTATACCGCTGCTGTTCAGCAAGCATGGGCGCCGCCATTGCTCGATAGCGATGGCAATGAGACTGCCCTGCTTTTGCCACTGGCTTGCTTTTGAGCCGCAGAGGTTCCGAAGCTGAAGCTCAGTCACCCAGTTTATGGCCTTCTTGGTTTTCTTTCACGTAGCTGTGCGGAACGATGCCTTTTTCGGTGCAAATGCATATCATTTCGTTCGCACTTTGCCATTGTGGTAACTAATCAGAGCAGCTGTTCGTCCGCATTATCAACAAAATCAGCTAGCCACGAGTGGTGGATGATAAGAATGGCACAAAATAAGGCAAAAGTCACCGCTCCACGATACCCTACCTCCATCTCAACGTTGTCAGATACACTTAGACGGCGGACAGCTGCTGGTGTTAACGTGTTAATGCAGCTGTTCGGTTAATTCACAAAAGTAGCTGTAGGCCTTGTTTCAGCATGCTTTTCATCATGGCCTCGCTATGCATGGGTGAGAATTATGTAGCGACGCTGTCGGGAAAGAATAAGAAGTAGCGGACACTTTTTAAATTTTGAGAACAAACGTTCCTTCGTTTTGCTAGCTCAGATAAGCTATATTTTTTCGATTTCACTACAACAAAAGTTTCGCTTCAACGAAAATTTTTTTCATCCCCGTCAGTTTCGTTGTAGCGAGGTTCGACTGTATATACATCGGTCAGACTGGTTGACGAACCAACACACGCCTCAGAGAGCATCAATATTCATTTATTGAAGTCATCGCATCACACCTCGCATTCTCAGTCATGCAAATGCAATTTTAATTTTAAAGATCTGGTAATCTTAAAGGTGGTGATCACCCATGCGACAAATCTCAGAGACATATCATAAAGAGCCCCCCACTTTGTTGAAGTCCCTTAACCTTCGCTATCGCTACAACACAAGAAACTTGACTTTAATAATCAACTGTAAACATGAGTCTTGGTTGTTTTACTTTTTGTGCCTGTTTGTGACATGTGCAATGCACCCCCATTTTTTATATATGTTTGTTAACACGTGCGAACACCTTTCAGCCTTGAGTGAGCGTTTCCGTTTTTTTTCCTAGTCGTACTTCTCTCTTTTATTCCTGTAGGCTTTCTTGAAGTTACACTGCCAGGGGAAGACGGTAGATGCATATGCTGTGAGCAGCGCACAGTGGTCTAGTCAATGTATTTTATTACACGAAATTGAGCCTATTCTAAATCGCTCTTTAAATATACCAGAACAGTACAATTTACTCGTAAACAGCGTCAAAGCATATTGATTCCTTAAGCATCCGTGAATTTATGGACTGTGCTTGCACCCTTCAGGCAACTAAGTTGCATTGTTTTCTATGTATGCCGAAGGTGGACTGACTCTAAAGGATAATTAACAGACGCTTCTGAGCCGCTCAGCTCGTTGAACGGGGGAGGGGGTAGTGTAAATCATAGACAATCTCACCCTAACACAGCAGTTTGTGAGAGTATCCCACAGTAATATAACAAACTTTGCCGAGTTCACTTGATCTTAGAAGCGCTGGCACAGTACAAACAAAAAGCTGAAGCAACAGGCTCGCGCGCTCGTCGCTGCTGCTCTTGCGGCGTACCTACTTTTCCCATTAGCGCTTGCACGCCTGCTGGTGGTGCTAGTGTGATTTAAAAACGTCTATTAAAAACTACATTAATAAAAAGATATAAGTACAGTCAACCCACTTATTACAATCCTAGATATAACGATTTATTGGTTATAATGACCATATTTTGGTGCACTTACGATTTTCCTATGCTACCCTTTAAAACTGAGTCCACATGTTGCGAACATATTTCAAAACCCCCTACTTCCAGAACACTTTTCAAAACACCCTACTTTTACAACGAACACTTCCAACACATTTACGGTAAAGATATGGCACATATGAAGTGAAAACAAAATTTTAAAAAGGCATTCTAAAGCGTATAAGTGCGCACTCGCATGTGCCTCGCTGCAGTTTACAAGCGACAAAGATATCATAGATCGCTGCAAGCACCGCACGCAGATTTCGGACCTTGTGAGCAGGGTCGTTCACTTTGCAGACGTTTTTTCATCGGCAAAACGGAAGTAAAAAAAAACACGTAAAGAAATACGAGACAGCATAAAGACTTGTGGTCAGCTTTCGCACGGCAAACTTTGCTGACGCCGCTCACGCCATCTATGACCGGCAACGACTAATCAACAATGCCTTTGAACGCAAGAAGCCATAAATAACAGAAGCGATAACTTTTGTCACGTATAAGTTCACTGCGATGCTCAACTCTTCGACACCACAATGTGCTGCAAAAAATTTTCCACTTTTCGATAACGGCAGAAACCGGTTGATTAGCGATAATGACTTTCGCGTGGTTGCGACGGTGCCTTCACGGATAAGCATCACAAGAGTGCAATAGCGAGGTCATTGGGCAAGGTGGCCGGTGGCGTTGAACGTGCCAATAACTCGGCGAGCAACTTTATCACAGTCATTTGCAGATAGCTCCTCAGCGGAGTGACTAGGGTACAAGCGTGTGGCTGCCGTTCCCAAGTTTGCCACTGCCGCAGCGTCGTGTGAGGCCGCTTGCATGCATTGCTCGCCAAATTCTTCTTTGCGTTAATGAACAGGCTACTTGCCGCACCCGAGCACAATACCGAGTGAAGCATGTGTGAAGAAAGCACGGACGCCCGCATACATTGGACTCCAAGTGAACTGGCATGCGACGGAGAGAGCCGAGTAAGCGACGTGCTGCACGCAGCTAGCCAGGGCTGATTGGTTCGACATGGCGGTGCCGCGCTTCAGTGGAACCACAGTGAAATGGCATCACCGCGCGATTTTACTGCAAACATGGTTGAATTCACTAGTGAGCAAACGGGCGTGGTTTAACACACGAAAAGGCCTAACTTGTCAGAAGGGGGGCTATTCAGACTCTCGAATAAAAATACACAGGAAAAAAAGTTTTGGCTACTAAAAGGATGTTTTTACAGGCGGGTCCATATACCATGAACTACTGTTATAGCGACCATTCATTGCAGCACTTTTGAGTTCCTTATAAACAGGTTCGACAGTAGTTGCAGCTGCTCCAGGTGTCATGCTATGTAGAAGCAAACAAACTTCACCTTCCTTTCTTCAATACAGCACTGACTTGGTTCAAATAAGCTAAAGCCAAATTCACTTCATTTCAGCCCAGAAGTCATACCCAAGTATTAAGAAGCAAAGACATCTACAGCGTCTTACGCCTAAGAATGCATGGACTAAGCGTGCAACTAAATAAATGTCTATGCAGTCACAACTGCTACACATACCATGCTTTACAGCAACTCAGTTTTGACATTCTTATGTGCAGCCCTGAGGACCTTTCTGAAATTCATTTTGACCAATAGGCAGCATCCAAATTGCATCGTTACAACAGCGGGTGTAACATAACATATTTTTTCGAATTAGCAGCTGACCAATGAGCCCTCGAATGCTTGATTGATATGCGAGGTTTAACATCCCAAAATCATTGTACGATTATGAGAGACGCCGTTGTGGAGGGCTCCAGAAATTTCGACCACAGGGGTTCTTTAACGTGTACCAAAATCTGAGCACACGGGCCAACAGCATTTTCGCCTCCATCGAAAATGCAGCCGCTGCAGCCGGGATTCGATCCGGCGACCTGCAGGTCAGCAGCAGAGTACCTTAGCCACTAGACCACCGTGACAGGGTAGCCCGCGTATGCTGCCTAAAGGAACTGTCAGCTGGTACAATTCTCCAAGAACCTGTCATAAGGAGCACTTTGGTTACCACCTATTTTGTTGGTTTTGCTTACTGCTAAACTGAACATAAACACACTCAGAATAAGAAAACGATATAGGACACGCAGTGTCAGGTGCCTCAGGCCTGTGAGACGAGCAGCAGCAGCAGGAGCAGTCCTCTGCAGTTAACTCACGAATGCAGGCCGCGCAGACGACGACGATGGGCGAGCGACAGCGTGAACATAACAGCGTGCGCCACTGCGGTGCGTCGTTCCTTAGAGTGCGCAGAACTGGAGCGGCAGGACACAGCAGTGATGGCAGTGGAAGCAGGCAGACGGTGGGAGAGAGAAATCAAGAAGACCGTACTTACACACACCTCGTGGTATATCGAAGGCTTGCTAATGCTTGGGATGTGGTAGGTCGTCGTCGTCGGCTTGCCCTCATTGTCCAGAATTTGCTGTTTAGGAGAAATGGGAAGAAATTTGGCAATAATGTCGGGCAACAAACACAGCTAGTAGAAAGCAATGCAGCAAGACAAGGACCACCCACAGGTGTGCGCACAATTATGCCAAGAGTGTCCCCCTTACCTTAACTTTGTCTGACCTGTTCTACTCATTGCTTTTTAATCTGCACAGTTACAGTGACCCAGGTGTTCGACAAGAATGATGGCCAGTAACTTCCCGGAAAGCCAGTTACTACGCTCACAAAGGCAGGCACCAAATGCAGGCCATTGTGGGAAGCAAGTCATTGCTTTATTTTCAGTTTTAGTGAATGCTTAGCTTCTTTCGTACTCAACTGATGGGCAACTGTGGAACTCGCCCCTCACCCTTATACGGATAACCCGGCACATGCCTATGTATGTGATAACTTTAGGCTCATGCAAACAGTACATTTCACGTTGGAAGCGAAATCATAGCGAATAGTGCTTAGGTCAAAAAATTTCAAATTAAACTTGAATGCTGTATATCATGTATAATAAACGAAAATGAGCACTATTGTTGAGGCCGAACTAACTTACACAATTTTTTTGTTCAAAATTGAAACAAGACATGCAACTGTTCTGTTTGGTTTAAAAAAAAGCAGAAGCAAATTCGAGTAGCAGCAGAATTTGGCTTTCAGTAGAATGTAAGTAATCAGTTGTAAAATATGTTACACACTACACTTAGAACACAAAAGCCAGTAGAAAGAGCTTTCAAAATTAAAAAAAAGGTTAATCAATGTGGGGCAATATGTTCACTTAACCTTCAAGTGGGGCTTCATGACTATGTGGATCTACCCTGGATATGTGTATTCATAGTATAACATTCCGCCACTGCAGTGAAATCCCCTTTACAAAAAGTTACATGTGAAATCATCATTAGCCTGACTATGCCAACTGCAGGGCAAAGGCCCCACATGTGTACCGCGAATCAGCCCGATCCTATGCTTTTTGCTGACATATGGTATCTGCAAACTTCTTAATCTCATCCCTCATGCATTTGCCTTCTCTGAGACCTGTCAGTTAGCCTTAATGACTAACAGTTACCTTGCACATGCCCTATGCGCCCGGCCCATGTCCATTTCATCTTGCTGATTCGAACCTTGATATCCTGAACCCCAGTTTGTTCCCTGACCCACTTCGCTCTCTTCTTGTCTCTTAACATTACACCTTTCATTTTTCTTTCCATCACTCGTTGCGTAGTTTTCAATTTAAGTTGAACCCTTCTTGTAAGCCACTAGGTTTCTTATCCAAAAATAAGTACCTGTAAGATGCAGCTCTCATATATCTTCCTCTTGAGACTTCCCTTCATGATTGGAGAATGTTTGCCGTATGTGCTCCACCCCATCCTTATTTTTCTAGTTATTTAACTTTGCCCCGCTTCGGAGGTCAAGTGGCTAAGGTACTCGGCTGTTGACCCGCAGGTCGCGGGATCGAATACCAGCTGTGGCGGCTGCATTTCCGATGGAGGCGGAAATGTTGTAGGCCCATGTGCTCAGACTTGGGTGCACGTTAAGAACCACAGGTGGTCGAAATTTCCGGAGCCCTCCACTACGGCGTGTCTCATAACCATATGGTGGTTTTGGGACGTTAAACCCTACAAATAAATCAATCAATCATAGTTATTTAACTTTCATGATTTGATGATGATGATGATGATGATGATGATGATGATGATGTTTGATGTTTTGTGGCGCAAGGGCCATTTCACGGCCAAAGAGCGCCAGTTCATCTTACTAAAAATATGGACAATGATTGTGATAAGCGGCTGTATAAGGGCCATAAAATTCCTCGCGGTAAGGCGGGTAAGAACATACACGTAATAAAATCATGACCATGCCGTGAAAGGTGTGTGTGGTGTGAATAGATGACAAAAGTTGGTGATAATAAAAGACGATGGCGGATATGTATGGCATTAGCACAAGTGCCTCACTCGTTCATACCCTTGCGTCCAAGGGCCGTGAGGCAAGTGCTTTCTTGTGTAGCCACCACAGCAAAAACCTCTCTGGAGAGGTCGTGCTACGGAATGCCCGGGTATATAATATTAAAACTATGAATTTCTTTTAAAAACGCTAACAATGATTTATGACTAAAAAGCGGTTCCCTACCGACGAACATTGCAGGGTGTAAAGGTATATGTTGTAGGTAGGGTAATGAAAAATATTGTTTTCTTAGAGTTTCTAAGTGTTCCTCTGCTAGTATACCCCGAGGTTTCGTTTGAGAGACGGCTTAAGATCAAGGGCCGGGATTGATATGGGTGTAGGGGCAGTGCTTTTGTGGACGGATGCAGCGAGCTGATCCACCCTCACGTTGCCTTGAATCTCACGGTGCCCTGGCAACCAGCACACTACAACATGTTGTTTGAATGTGTAGAGTGTGCACAAAATGGAGTAAAGTGAGACAAGGACTGGGTTTTTGTGTTTTTTAAGAGTGTGCAGAGCCGTTACCACACTGAGGGAGTCCGTATAAATTACTGCTTTTTGTCTTTGTGATTGCTTGATGTGTTTAGCCGCCACAAGTATCGCATAAGCTTCTGCTGTGAAGATACTTGTGCCTGGATGTAGAGGGCCAGCATCCGAAAAGGATGGGCCGACAGCAACGTAGGACACAGAGGAGTTAGACTTGGAGGCATCTGTAAAGAACTCAGGATGTGTGTATTTGTGTTGAAGTTCCAAGAAGTATGTTCGGATATGGGCAATAGGCGCATGTTTTGTAACTTCTAGAAAAGACACATCGCAGTCTATAGTCTGCCATTGCCACGGTGGGGGGTATGCTACAGGAGCCATAAAACTGTGTTCAAGTGAGACTCCAGTTTCCTCAGCTAGACTCTTCAGGCGAACTGAGAAGGGCTGCCTCATCGAAGGCCTGTTTTGAAACAGATTTGAGCTCGACAAATCATTAATTGTAGAGTATGAGGGGTGCTTCTTGTCTGCTTTCACCTTAAGGAAGTAAACAAAGGACATGTAAGTTCTCTGCAGATGAAGCGACCACTCATTTGACTCAACATAAAGGCTTTCTACGGGGCTGGTGCGAAAAGCACCCGTAGAAAGGCGGATGCCCAAATGGTGCGCGGGGTCTAGCATCTTCAAAGCACTTTGAGTCGCAGACTGATAAACAACGGCCCCATAATCTAAGCGGGTGCGAATGAGGCTTCTATATAGGTTCACGAGACATTGCCTGTCACTACCCCACGTAGTACGTGACAACACTTTTAAAACATTCATGGCTTTTAAACATTTTGTTTTTAGATACTTGATGTGCGGTACGAAGGTCAACTTGTTGTCCAAGATTAATCATAAGAATTTATGCTCCGTATTAACAGACAGACGTTGACCGTTCAGTTCAATGTCGGGTTCTGAGTGCATGCCTCTCTTTCGGGAGAACAAGACACACGTGCTTTTTTGTGGGTTCAGTCGGAATCCGTTTTCCTCTGCCCATTTGGAGACCTTGTTTAAACCTAACTGAACCTGCCGCTCACACATTGCCAGATTGCAAGATCTAAAGTCAAGCTGGACGTCATTGACATATGTACAGTAAAACATATTGCGAGGAATGGACAAGCGCAAGGAATTCATTTTGATGAGAAAAAGTGTGCAGCTAAGTACACCACCTTGTGGCACGCCTGTTTCCTGGACAAATAATTGGGAATGGTGCATTCAGACGACTGATCGAATCCCGATGTAGCGGGACGGACGGCGCGTCACGTGACCTCACATCAGCGATTCCCCTCGTCCGCGACTCGACGGATGAACCCAACCTGTTTCTCACATCGGGATTCTGGCGGGGGAGAGCCGGTACTTCAGCGGAATAGCTTGGGGTCGGTGGCAACCAGTACACTTTTCGTCTGCTCGCGGCATGTCCTCCATGGCTCGCGGACAGCTGCATGACTGGTCGGCATCATCTACGCTTGAGCATTGTTTACTTAGTTTCCGGAGACTTTGTTCTCAGGTGATTAAATATGCAGAAATCACTTTTGGTGGTTCGGGAAATGTCGCCGCCGTCGCTTAACACGCGAGATTCTTAGCCGTCATGGTAGTGAAATATTCCAACTTCTGCAACCGGCGACGTGCCGCTTCTAAAAAAAAAAGGCGGGAGACACGTTTAGAAGTTCTACAAGTGGGGAATAATGTAGCTGAAAGAATATCCTGCTAGCAACTCCCTTTTCTCCTGAAAGAATAACACTACTCGTTCATTTGTCACAACACGACAGACGTCGCAGCCAAGCTTCGCTTCTTACGGGCATCCATGTTGAATACTCTCAAACCGGTCTGCTGCCAGCGGGCGCAGGTGAGCGCCGAATCTGCTGTCGAGGGTAATCCGGCTGTTTTCCCCTAGGACACCATCCGTCGTGTGGATGCGCCTGCAGGCGGACCATTCGCGGATTAGCTGTCCACGTCCACGACAAATCCGGATTCGGTCCGTCGTCTCAATGCACCAGAAAGAACCATGCCCACTCGGACACGGAATGTCCGGTTTGACAGGTAACTTTCGATTATGTGAAACATTCTTCCGCGCACGCCAAGGTGGGACAGGTCTCTTAGAATTCCAAAACACCATGTTGTATCATAAGCCTTTTCGATATCGAGGAATACAGAGAGAAAATATTGTTTATGGACGAAGGCGTCCCTGATCTGTGCCTCAATACGAACAAGGTGGTCTGTGGTGGATCTACTTTCTCGAAACCCGCACTGAATTGGGTCGAGCAAATTGTTTGTTTCAAGGAAATGTACAAGTCGGCAGTTTATCATTTTTTCGAAGACTTTGCACAAGCAGCTTGTAAGTGCAATAGGCCTATAACTCGAAGGCAAAGAACGGTCCTTGCCCTCTTTCAAAATGGGAATAATAATAGCCTCTTTTCAGGAGGTAGGGATAGTGCCAGAAAACCAGATAGCATTGTACAAACAAAGTAAGGTTTTTCGTGTTTCGATTGGTAGGTTTTTTAACATTTCATACACCACACGGTCAGAACCTGGGGCAGA